CCCTGTCAATTCTGATGCGGTCCCGCTTTCGCGTGACAGCCTCAATGAGTGGAGCGCAACCAAATTCCTTTGCAGTTGCATTGAGTCTGCCACATTACCTTCCCATGTTGGTTTCTTCAGATTTCCCAATCAACTGTAAGGCAGGGAGTGGTCTCTGGTTTTCAAGGCATCGAGTCGTCTTGACCTCCCTCCAGCATGCTGCCAGAACTGGGCCAAGGGGCCAAAGCCATCTGGCACTGATGCATTGGGCTCGGTCCTTTGCCTGCGGGCCAAACTCGGCAACAAAAATGAGTCAGCTGGGATCATCGCAGCCCAAAAGGATAAGAAAAATAGTACAGAGCCTAATCGTCCAGATATCCTGTTTCATGCTTTACATATGAGTTCCATGCCAGAGATGTGGATAAATTTTGTCAAGATGCGATGAGACCCCAGCTTGATGACCACTCTCAGGACTTGATGCTGGTGCGAAAACCCACCGTAGAAAGTCTGAATAGTGGATGCTTTGATCTCGACAGGCATCCTCAAATTGAACGTGTTAGTCCACTGATCAATTTTCTGGCCAGGTCGTCAATGTGTTTCACAAAAAACATGCAGTAAATCGTGCGGTCAAAATGGTTGGTGTCAACAGAGCTTGAAATCAAAAACTAGTCTGGACCTGAACCTGGACCACAACAGCATGAATCGAAAGCCTTAAGCCGTCCATTATCAAACCAAGCATCTGTAGTTTTAAGCATTGCTGCCAGCCTTGGCCGATGAATGAAACACACGTTGCAGAGGGGTGACAACAGGGTACGTTTCTGCCTTGTGGAAGAGTGGCTGTTTGGAATGCCGAAACGGGTAAACTCTGCAGACCAGGCAGCTCTCGATCAGTGATTCCAATGTCCGAGAGAATAGACAGCAGCTCTTCCTTCTGGAGCGTGCCATGTCCTGAGAAAAAGGAAATTATCAATACGATCTCCCTAAACTGCGGAGTTCATCGCAGCCCAGCTGCACAAGAAACTTTGCAGCTGAGAGTCCCGTAGGATCCCACTGCTGGAAAATTGCTCTGACGTTTGCATGGTCTGCCTTGACATTGGTCGCTTGGTCACTCCCAAAGCTGGCAAACTGTTGTGTTCATAGACTATAGCATAAGCTATGCCCAGTGTCAACTTGAATGATAAGAAACAGTTGGATCACCCAGTGAAAAGTGGAAACCATTGTTATTCGCTAAAGACGTCTGAAAAAGTTGAAACCCTTGGAGATGACATGCCAAGAAACTCCGTGAAACACTCCAAGAGTCCAACAATGTCCAACATCTTTGTTGCTTTTCACCATATCAACTTCCAACCGCTTTGGTGGAGTCCGAAATTCCACGCCTCAGATCTGGGACACCCTGCCGAGGTATCGCAACCATCGCTTTTTTCGGCCATGTCGCCGATGGGAATTCCCCAATTTCCGGAAGCGTGGTGAAACTCGCTGAAATTGCGGCCAAAACTTGAGGGAACGATCTGGTTTCACCTTTTCAAACTCTGGAGGTCTGGCAATCCGTGAATTTCCAAGCTAAGCAGGCTGGTGTTGCTCCTGCAGGCAACAAGTTGGTTGGCAAACCAGGCGTGGGATGATGCTGATATTTTGTCAGCATTCATTCATGTTCAAATGGGCAGAGCTGCGTTGGTCCTGGTGTGTGTCTCTTCAACCCTCAACATCAACGAACTGCTGGTGATGAGGTGCTAGCTGAGCCGAGAACTTCAGGAATTCCAACCTTTGCTACAATGTGCAAATGAATTACCTCAAAATATGTGCGGTCTTTTCATTATCAATTTGCATGTTGCAAGGGGCACCTACTGTCACACTATGCCTCAACCTAACATCCGAAAGAGTAACACCATGCAACAATCTGGGAACGCTTCCAAATCAGAGGTCATAGTTCCATCCAGATTTTAAGCCCTGCGTGCATGCTAGGTTGAAAATATAATCAGTTCAATCGACCTTCCATGCCTAACACGGTGCGGTTGCCTTTTTTGGGGCGAATTAGGATGACGCGCTTCACAGATACATTCTTGTGATCTTTTTGGGTCGGAGAACTACTGGTTACTTGTTGCTTCCTCAAATTCATCCAAATTTAATCAAGCAGGAGCACAGGGCACCATGGGAAGCCGGAATGCGGCAGTTGTCAATTTTCACTTCCGCCACATCTTTGCAATCTGTTGGCCTTCGCCTAATTTGAAAAGATGCCACCAGGGCTAGTCACAGAATCCACAATCTGATCAGCAGCGCCTTCGGCATTGTTCATCTGCCGATCATCTACATACACTAGGCCGTTCTTGAACACGAATTCATTTTGAAAAGTGCCTCTTGGATTGTTTTGCGGCGCAGGTGCCCACTCTTCGCAGAGCCTAGTGGGAAAGATATGCAACTTGTTGTCGTGTGCATATTCCAATTCATGGAAGGTTTCGTAACCAGCACCAGTATAGGCGCCGTAGTCCGACGTGCAGACAGCCACCCTGCCTTTGGCACGGGCCAATCCTATCCGCGTCAGCTCTGCAAAACTTTGGCCGACCTGAGCTTGGGCCACAAACACTGGAACTCTTCTCTCTTCCAGACGCCTTTTCACCGTTCTCATGTAATTCATCGTCCTCGGTGGCCAGAAAAGTCCACATGACAGGGAGGATGGAACCAATTGATGGTGACCGATGGTCCCACCCCTCCAATAACGGTTGCCATTCTGGATTGTCAATCAGTTTATGGGATTACAATGATATTATGGCGGGGATACTGATAGTAGGATTTATAGTTGGCCATATCGTGACATATCTTCTAAAAAATGATAAATTGCACATGTGCTATCGTCAAGTTCGATGTGTATGCACTGTGGAATTTCAGGGGTTAAATGGGACAAAGCCATCCACCATATGATGGGGATATTGGGGGTTAACCCTCAATGATATCATGATATGGGAGTAATATACATGGGATGAATGGGGCCCCTATGGGCCCCTGGTCGTCCATCCGCCATGGGAATCTACACATGTGTCATAAAAAGAAAAGAAAATTAGATATGGAACTTGTCACAATTGTGTCCCCCAGTTATATATGTTTGTTGGTAGTATATAAACCCCATTAACATCCATTAACTACTTCACTATATCTACCATAAACCATAGGATTCAGCCACTTATACGGTGTTTGGATCCATACTTCAGCCCAAAAGAAGTACAATCATGGGAGCATTGGGGATGAAACCCAAGGTTGACCATCCCCTTTATCGTAAATCAAACTCGCCGTTGACATCACCAGGAAACATTAAGGGAAAATCTATAGGGAACCATGGTTTTTCTTTTCAAATATGGAGGTAAAGCCTGCAAATGTTCTCTTCAAGCAATTCTAGGACTGCAACCCTTAAACATCTAATAGCCATTAACAACACTGTGTTTAAGCCCGTGTGATTGGGATATCTGTTTAACCCTTCAAAAACTCGAATCAAATTACAATAATTTCAAAACTATCGAACCTGCAACCATGTTGATCCATGTTTGAGATTCCTCCTGTTACAAGAACCATTATGTGGCGCTTTAAATTGTAACCTTGGAGTATCCCAAAACCTTTGGTTTCCCCACAGAAAATGGAGAATTTGGGATGACAACTGATAACTTGGGGTCCGCCACTTTAAGAAAAACCCATTTACCAAAGTATTTGGGTTGATCCAAAACTTAGTTTGAGAAGACCCCCAGAATCCAAAAGCTTAAAACCTCGTTTTCCTCGGTTTTCCCCATGGTTTCCCCCCATGATTCGGTGACCCATTCCCCACAAAAACGGCCGATCTCCCACCGCAGCCCTGGGGAGTACCTTCTTCGGCACCGTCCAGGGTGCTGCAGTCACCACATCATGAAGGGATGGGTCCCGCATGGCGACGTTGGCTTTTGGTTTTTGGGTGGGACACCTGCGGGGCAACCTGAGATGTAGGGGATATGTATAGAAACGTATGAAGAACGGTGAAGATATCTGAATATGATATATAAATGATATATATATAATATATATAATATATATATATACATATACATGATACATGTATTGTGGACATGCATGTGTGCTTTTGAATTCCGAATTGATTGATTTTACGTTTAGAAAGGGTCTTAGAAGTGACAACGATTGGTGGAATTTTGACTTCGAATATGCACTGTACTGGGCAAGGAAGGGCCTGGCTACTACAAAATAAAGTGATGAAAGCCACCAGTGAAGCCACTGAGACACAAAAGTTTCCTGACATCTTGATCCAGCTGGCCATATGCAGGAAGAACCATGATACTCTGTGCGATGACAAATCAAATGTGATGTACAGCATTCGCTTTCCTTGCCATTCATCCCCATTTGGTACCATCTGTAGAGAAATCACTTCACAGAAGGAAGCTTTTCCCGCACTGAAGACTCCAACCCTTCAAAATGGGAACGCCTTCTCAAAGCGTATCCCAACCATCCCAGGACATGCCTGGTCAGGCCATGGCCACATCTTCGCAATCTGTTTTCTTTCGCCCAATTGTTGCAATTGCTATGCCATTTTCGGCAACAGCATGTGAAATTCAATGCGCCTTGTCGACAAACACAATTCAGCGCGTGAAACATGTGTGCAAATGATCTGGCGACGTTCTCTAGCAGGCCAAAGGATATTGCACTACACCAGGAGTTGTAATTCTTTTGGATTCTTTTGGTGTGCCAACCGTTGGAGTTTCCGGATTTGGCTGTAAAGGTGTGCTCCAATTCTCCTGCGCTTCATTCATCTCCGAAGACATGGCAAGTGCATTGCGGCATATCCTTCGGCCAACTCCGATTTCCTACATGGTGGTTCCCTGAAATGGGGGTACCCTAAATCATCCATTTAATAGAATTTTCCATTGTAAACCATCCATTTTGGGGTATCCCCATTTATGGAAATCCCCACATGGTTTCATAGACTTGTGGTGTCGCAACTTGCAAGCAGCCCGTCCGACTGACCATCTAAATCTATCTGAATCATTCTAAATCTACAATCGGATCTTCAGCTGCGGTCGCTGCTCCATCACTTTGCGAAGGGCAGCTGTCCCGATGTCACTGAAGCCTGGCTGCTAAAACTTCGAGTTGTGTCCATTTCAACATCTTCTCATCTCACAGACTCCAACATCTTCGTTCATCTTTCCGAGATTGGGGGTGAAAAAAACATGCCGTCATTCCAAAGGTTCAAAACAATGTAAAACAATGCCAAACATATCGCCAAAAAACGGTTTCCAGTCAGACTCAGATGTTCCAATCGATCAGCAGCTGAGCTCATCAGTGCCTCTGCCATTGCATCTGCATCTTCATCTTGTAGAGAACACGACTCCATTTGGATGTCCGCCGCACCTGAGGTCACCATCGCCACGGCATCTTGCCCCTTCAGGGCATTGCCGTTCACCACCATGTACTCCAGTTTGGTGTAGTGGGGCAAGGCGTCATGTAGACATTCCAAGTCATCCCCAGAGAGTTGTTGGAGCTGCAAGTGTGTTGTCTTGGAGACTTTGTCTCTGAACACCTTCTCTTGCAAAGCAAGCACCTGCTCGGCATCATTTCGATGAGTGAACCGCATCCGTTGCATCCTCTTCCTGAAGATGTCTGGAGGAGTGGGAACACAACCTCCAAGCACATCCATACGCAGGCGGGACCATTCAGATTCACTCTGGCACCAACCTCGAAGCTCGTACGGGGTGCTGTTGAGTTTCAGCTCGCGGATTGGGGTAACTTTCATCTGGTCTTCCGCCGCGTTGTATACCAAAATCTCGCCCTCGGACTTCTTGTCATCAGGCGTGAGTTCAGTGAGGATGTCTACCTGCACAATCTCATGACTGTACAGCCAGTGCATTCGCTTCAGCCCCTTCCTGAAGAACTCATCTTCTTCAGCAGATCTCTTGTACTGATACAGCGACATGAAGTCCACGAAGACCCACGTCACCGAATCCGTGGGTAATTCTCGGTACCTCTCCACAATGCTGGCGACCTGGAATCCCCAGGGATCCGGATGCTCCATTGCCTCCCACATGTGGGAGATTGACCGGAATCGCACTGTGGAGGGGCCCTCAGCCGTGCGGATTGTGACGTGTCCTCACAGGGCGGACACTATGTAGTGCCAGACAAGCATAAATCTGATGATTACAGTAAAATGCAATCATATGCGGACCAGAAATCTAGCACAACATCCATCGATCTACAATAATATACATTTATGTTTGCCATCTAGAGACCGTAAAGTCATTTGAAATCATCTCTGGTGTTTTTGTACCTCTGGATGTTTGCAGGGACTGAGCCAGCCTGATGTTTGATTCACGTGCAACTCTTTGTACTCACCAAGCTCCACCAGTGCAGTTGCCCCACTCTGCACGTGCATGAACTCTGCCTCTTGTCGGCGAGGCATGGGGGTCCCAGTCTCATCCAGCTCGATCAAAAACTCAGCGCGGACCAGCCGAATGTTCGCGGAGATGAGGAACTCAATGAAGTCGTTGGGATTTTGCAAATCGCCTGGCAGCATCATACAGCCGGACCGTGACTGCTAGAGCCCCCCTGGATTTCATCGTGGCTCAGTCAATTCCGGTCCCAAACTCTTAAAAATCAGACCCTGGAGATGATGTGTGACTTTGGATCCAACTAATGATAATTGGAATACCTGTTGACGGTTGACAGCTTGACTGATGTGTGTTTGTAAGTGCTGCATTGAATACCCTACTGACCTTGTCTCTTAGCAGACATCCACTCTTATCCACCCAACTATAAGAACTAACTACCACTAATTGCATTTTATAATTATAGCATTGATTACCCTGATCAATCACAAGCGCCATCATCTTTGCGGCCTTCATCCTCTGGCAACTGCTTCTCCTGTGGGATCCAGCCATGTTCTACAGAAATTCAACAGAAATCACTGCGTATCATGAAAATCAGGTGTGTATAGAGATGCTGTGCTTGTTGAAGGGGCATCTCAAATGTCTGGGTTCCGTCTTCGGATGTTATCTCATGAACCTTTGGAGTTGATCCCAGCAACGCAGACCCAAGCAACGCAACCATACACCATTTGCAATCCTTTACGCACAGAAATACGCACATGAGAACTCCGCCATCACCTAGCTACATGGAGCTGCATCCAAAGACTGGACATTGGCAAATCTTGCAACTTTCAAAGTGGCTGCCATTGAAGTTCTGGCGCACCAAGCCGTCATTTCACGGGATTTCCAGAGACTCCCTGCAGAATGTGATGTCCCACATCGATACGACCCGCCTCTGAGACATCAGCCTGCCCCGCTGCTGGCGCCTGGAAAGAAAGAAGATATCGACGGCAGTTTCTACACAAATCTTCGAAGCAAAATGTAGCAGGGAAAAACATGATCAAAAATAGGTGCTCGCAGCTAATTCACAAACGTCTCGATCACCATAAGGGTTGCGATAACAGCAGAGCTAAGCACTGATCCGGCTTGGGAGGCTCATCACTTTGGGCTGAATTGAATCGACAGTTTGTTGCCGGTTTTGCAGCGTTTTCTTTTGAAATCCATTTCCAATCAGAATCTTCCCATGGCAATGGGTGATTCACATCAGTTTTGGCCGGGGCGCGATGACTGCGGTCAACGTATGTCCAGGCAAAACACCGGCTTCTTCCAGAGTCTTTGCTTCGTTCCTGATGGCTGGGCCAAGCTCCACATTGTTTGGGACAGCGAACTTGACAAATTTAGGTCTGATGCACTCGCTCCAGAGCTTCAGGAGTTGACTCCTACAATTACAAGTCTATTGCGACCGCGTTGTGAGGATGAGAGTAAGTTCGCTGAAAGCCAGCATGACCAATGCATCTAAAGAGTGCGGTGATGCCTGGTTTAGAATATATATTATATGGCTAGGATCCCTGTAGATCAATGACCTTGTCAAACTTGTTCGACTTATCTTAATCAACTGGTTCTACTTGCATATGATCATCCTTCACTGTGCGATATCTTCTCTAACCAAGAGGAGTTTTTCGATCAAACCAAGTCATCCAAGATTATCTAGTCAAATTTATCAGATCTGGACCACTTTCTCTGGAATGCCGTTCTCGCTGCCGAACACAAACAGACCGTGACTGATCCGTGAACGACCCTTGAATTACTTTGAACCAACCGTGGGTAGGGACATGGTCAACTTACTTAAGCACACGTAAAACTGAATGCTACCAAGAATTAAACTACAAAGTCACGGAAAAGCAGAATTTGAATTGACCTCGTAAAACTTGCGCTTAATCGCAATATCCATGCTAAGCTTGCACTTTGGATGATAAGATGTGATAAGATGTGATAAGATGTGATAAGATGTGATAAGATGTGATAAGATGTGATAAGATGTGATAAGATGTGACAAGCGCTTTCATTCCCAATATTTCCCAAAAGGCAGACCTTTGCATTTGTGGCCGCTTCTGCTGTTTGTTCTGCAATGTTCCGCATCACTCTGTCACTGACTCTCTCGAACAAACAGCAACAGCTGCACTTTCTGTCTCATTAGAAGGACTATCAAACAGCTTTCCCATCGCATTGTATAATATACATTAATACCTAGCTGTATTTGTCGTTTGCCATCAGGGCCATCAGGGGTGCAGTTTCAGCATCTACTATGCCGGCAGAGCCTTCAAAACGGTTTCCAAATCCGCCCACACCGCTTTGGCGGTGAAGGCGTGCTTATTGGGGGGCAAAACAGCAACACTAAATGCTCAATGACATTTGTTAATATAGCAGTCGCTATATCAGCTTTAGCTGGGGGGGGGCCAAAAACGGTTTCGCACCGAGACCAGAATACGGTGGTGTTTTCGACATTTTTCGAGGATTTTTGGGTGTCTGAGCGCAAGAGGGTATTGAAATGGAATTTTGGGTCATTTTGGTAGCTTTCCGGCAATGGAAAAACGGCCAAAAATGAAAAAAACATTGTACATAGCAAGATTTTGCAGGGTTTTTGGATGCCAGAGCATTGAAAACACTGCAAAAACAAGTGTTTTGGACTGACGTTATAGCAAAAAACGTGTAAATTACCGTATGCTTGACTGGAAACATTACAAAAACACTGTCAAAAGCAATGTTTTGGAAGGATTTACTGCCTTTATGGCAAAAAACGTGTAAATTACCGTCTGTTTGACTGGAAACATTGGAAAAACACTGTCAAAAACAATGTTTTGGAAGGATTTCTTATATATATATATGTTGGAGTTGGCTACCGGCATTGGAACATGGAAAAATTGAAGAAAACACTGTAAATAGCGGTATTTTCAACGGTTGGGGAGATAAGGGAATTGGAAGCATTGTCGAACATGATGTTTTCGACCGGTTTTATGGCGACAAAAGTGTAAAGTACCGTGCTTTGAAGGAAACCATTGCAAAAACATGGAAACACATTCAAAGAACACGGGATTTGGGGGACTATCTAGGCGTCGTTGTCTAGCTATTTGAAATTCCGCAGCTTGGAGAGCCTCCAAGGGAGGGAAAAGTGAAAATTCCATAGCTTGGGAAGCTGTCACGGCGGGGAAAAGTGAAAATTCCCTAGCTTGGGAAGCCCCCACGGGGGGGAAAAGTGAAAATTCCCTAGCTTGGGGAGCCCCCACGGGGGGGAAAAGTGAAAATTCCCTAGCTTGGGGAGCCCCCACGGGGGGGAAAAGTGAAAATTCCCTAGCTTGGGGAGCCCCCACGGGGGGGAAAAGTGAAAATTCCCTAGCTTGGGGAGCCCACGGGGGGGGAAAGTGAAAATTCTTAGCTTCTCTCACGGACCGAAATAAACCTGCGGTGTGGGCGGCCACCCCACGCGAAGCGGGGTGAATATTTCCATTCTCAACGACCTTGGTCACCTCATCACATTGAATGTCCCCAGCTGCATGGGGTGAAAGATTCTAACATCAAACCACCTCGAAACACGGAGGTCCCCATCGTCACTGAAGAGTCTGAGTCTTGTCACTGACCCAGCGAGCATCCCAGAAGGCTCAGGCTCCAGATTCGTATAGAATCTAAATACATCTAAACGTCGTCCCTCTATTCAGCATCAAGTTCTGTGCCAAGCAGCAATGGTTCCATGTTCACCCCAATGAGACGCTGGATGGTGATTCCGAGTTTCTTCCTCGGAAGCGCGACGCGTGGCACGGTGGCGCACGGGGTATCTGGCAGGGCCAACTGACACATCCCATGGTCGCTTCTTGACAGCCCGTGAGCTCGCTGAGATCTGACTATCACTTCCACATATCCCATCTTTCCCATGCAACAAACAGGAGTGCCAGATGCAATGAAAGATAATGATAAACGCCGATGGCTCATTCACCCTTCATAAGCCAATTTCGGATTGCAGGGAACTTAGCATCACGGGTCTTGTGTAGCAGTGGCCAGGCAACGCCATGCCTCTGAAAACCGGGATGAAATGTTCAATTTGCACAATCAGATGAATTACGGCACAAACATCTGTGGACTTGTTGCGAAACGCAAAAACATGTTGTCGCATATATTTTGGCATGGGTTTGCATGTTGTTGCAATGTGTGTCGTCATACCATTGTTGTCTAAGCATGTCCGTGCATTATCGGCCAACATGTTACATTGAGGAATCCAGGAAGTCTTATTGCAACAAAGGCAGTGTACAAAAGAGGCTGCCTGATTTGCCCTCTCAAGTAAAGTGGAGGAGGGATGTCAATTTCTTCGTATAGAGCCTACCATATTGCATCTTCTTCGATAATACCACACAACTGCATGAAACAACTCCTACAGACTCAGGGAGAGGGAAATGAAACAGACTCAGCACAGTGAAAGTATGGCCATGCGAGTACAAGATTTAAAAAAATCGCCATCCGTCGGCTCATGGAATATTAATTAGCATGTCCATCTCACAAACGCATTAGATCAAAATGCAAGGACCTCAAATGTTGTCAGACCAACAGAACACAAGCATTTCGACCAAGATGGTTTGATATGGCCTCAGAGAAAGCCAAGCTGCTCTGCTTCATCCTTCAATTCCTGCACCGTCTCGTGATAAGAACTACCTGAGTGTCATAGTTGCTTGCATTCCCAGGTTGCACATAACAGCCACTCATGAACAGTTCAGGTTTGACGGAAAATATCAGAAATGTTGATGTGTGGCACCCAACAAACCGTACAGCCTTTTATGTCTGCAGGTCGTATCAAGTGAAAAAGTCACTCACCTCATGCATCTTTTGAGCACTTCAATTGCTTGGTTCTCTTCAAATTCTACACATTGCCAATCCAGATAACCCTGAAACACCCTACATGACTGGCAAAAGATTGCGACGAATTACGGCACTAAAGTACCTGCCCACCATTTACCCACTGCAAATTTCGGAGCAGCCGAGGCACATTTGCAGCTCCGGCCACTGAGAAGGGCCACAAATACCTCACCAAAAGAATGGCAACGCATCGGAGTCAACTTGAGCGCATGACAATTTCACAACATTAGGGTTGCAACGACCTAACAAGAACCACCGTCTTTTCTTCATCATGTTCCTATAGCCCACGTGTGCCGAAGCCCTGGTCCACCACGGGGTGTTCATCCCAGCGCCAAGGGACCGGGTCCAGCACACCCATCACCTCCCAGTGGCCATGCTGCTTGGCGATGTCGTATGGCGTCTGGCCTTGCGATACACAGCTGGAAGTGCAACGGCCCGGTGTAGACGGATGTGGGGCTGAGTTTGGCCGCAAAATCCAGATACCAGTAGTATCATTTAGATTCATTTAGTGTCATTGCTTTTCAAGTTTTTTTTACGGATGTTTTATGGAAGACATCCTAGCATATTTCCTGCATATCACCCGCTATACATGACCTTATCGTGAGTTATCTGACCGCTGTTGCCAACATTCATATTATATTATTCTTAATATATATATCCGCCGACCCCGGCTGCGCAAGGGGGAGCGCGTAAGGGAAAAAGAGTTTGTGACACAGCAGTTTGTGATACAGCAGGAGCATATTAGATTTGATTGGACTATTGGAATTCTAGTAGGACTAGCAGCATCACTTTTCTATCGGATTCAGAAGTTACGTTAGGTCATTTTTGCGGTGCAATTTCGGAGCTTTTCCGTCCTTCACTGCCATGGGGATTTGCCGCTGGGAGTGGTTCGCTTTTAGGCGTCGCAGCTAGCCACCAGCAGCAGCAGCAGCAGCAGCAGAAAAAATTCGCTAAAAAAATCATCATTTTCTATGACTTTCAGAAGTTACGTTAGGCATTTTTTCCACTGCCATCGGGATTTGCTGCTGGGAGTGGTTTGCTTTTAGGCGTCGCAGCTAGCCACCAGCAGCAGCAGCAGCAGTAGGAGCGTCTTCAGCAGCAGGAGAAAAAAGTAGCTAAAATCATCATTTTCTATGGGTTTCGGAAGTTACGTTAGGCATTTTTGAGGTGCAATTTCGGAGCTTTTCCGTCCTTCACTGCCATGGGAATTTGCCGCTGGGAGTGCTTCGCTTTTTGGCGTCGCAGCTAGCTACCGGCAGCAGCAGCAGCAGCAGCAGCAGGAGAAAAAAGTCGCTAAAAAAATAATCATTTTCTATGGGTTTCAGAAGTTACGTTAGGCATTCTTGCGGTGCAATTTCGAAGCTTCTCCGTCCTTCACTGCCATGGGGATTTGCCGCTGGGAGTGGTTCGCTTTTGGGCGTCGCAGCTAGCCACCAGCAGCGGCAGCAGCAGTAGGAGCCTCTTCAGCAGCAGGAGAAAAAAGTCGCTAAAAAAAAATCATTTTCTATGGGTTTCAGAAGTTACATTAGGCATTTTTGGGGTGCAATTTCGGAGCCTTTCCGTCCTTCACTGCCATGGGGATTTGCCGCTGGGAGTGGTTCGCTTTTAGGCGTCGCAGCTAGCCACCAGCAGCAGCAGCAGCAGTAGCAGTAGGAGCGTCTTCAGCAGCAGGAGAAAAAAGTAGCTAAAATTATCATTTTCTATGGGTTTCAGAAGTTACATTAGGCATTTTTGAGGTGCAATTTCGGAGCCTTTCCGTCCTTCACTGCCATGGGGATTTGCCGCTGGGAGTGCTTCGTTTTTTGGCGTCGCAGCTAGCCACCAGCAGCAGCAGCAGCTAGGAGCCTCTTCAGCAGCAGGAGAAAAAAGTAGGTAAAATCATCATTGTCTATGGGTTTCAGAAGTTACGTTAGGCATTTTTGAGGTGCAATTTCGGAGCTTTTCCGTCCTCCATGGGGATTTGACGCTGGAGTGGTTCGCTTTTAGGCGTCGCAGCTAGCCACCAGCAGCAGCAGCAGCAGCAGCAGGAGAAAAAAGTCGCTAAAAAAATAATCATTTTCTATGGGTTTCAGAAGTTACGTTAGGTATTTTTGAGGTGCAATTTCGGAGCTTTTCCGTCCTTCACTGCCATGGGGATTTGCCGCTGGGAGTGGTTTGCTTTTAGGCGTCGCAGCTAGCCACCAGCAGCAGCAGCAGCAGGAGAAAAAAGTCGCTAAAAAAATCATAATTTTCTATGGGTTTCAGAAGTTACGTGTGGTTCGCTTTTTGGCGTCGCAGCTAGCCACCAGCAGCAGCAGCAGAAGAAAAAGTAGCAAAAATCATCATTTTCTATGGGTTTCAGAAGTTACGTTAGGCATTTTTGAAGTGCAATTTCGGAGCCTTTCCGTCCTTCACTGCCATGGGGATTTGCCGCTGGGAGTGGTTCGTTTTTTGGCGTCGCAGCTAGCCACCAGCAGCAGCAGCAGCAGCAGTAGGAGCCTCTTCAGCAGGAGAAAAAAGTACCTATCATCACATCATTTTCTATGGGTTCAGCAGCAGCAGCAGCAGCAGGAGAAAAAAATCGCTAAAAAAATCATCATTTTCTATGACTTTCAGAAGTTACGTTAGGCATTTTTTCACTGCCATCGGGATTTGCTGCTGGGAGTGGTTTGCTTTTAGGCGTCGCAGCTAGCCACCAGCAGCAGCAGCAGCAGCAGCAGTAGGAGCGTCTTCAGCAGCAGGAGAAAAAAGTAGCTAAAATCATCATTTTCTATGGGTTTCAGAAGTTACGTTAGGCATTTTTGAGGTGCAATTTCGGAGCTTTTCCGTCCTTCACTGCCATGGGAATTTGCCGCTGGGAGTGCTTCGCTTTTAGGCGTCGCAGCTAGCCACCAGCAGCAGCAGCAGCAGTAGGAGCCTCTTCAGCAGCAGGAGAAAAAAGTAGGTAAAATCATCATTGTCTATGGGTTTCAAAAGTTACGTTAGGCATTTTTGCGGTTCAATTTCGAAGCTTTTCCGTCCTTCACTGCCATGGGGATTTGCCGCTGGGAGTGGTTCGCTTTTGCGCGTCGCAGCTAGCCACCAGCAGCAGCAGCAGCAGCAGCACCAGCAGCAGCAGTAGGAGCCTCTTCAGCAGCAGGAGAAAAAAGTAGCTAAAATCATCATTTTCTATGGGTTTCAGAAGTTACGTTAGGCATTTTTGAGCTGCAATTTCAGAGCTTTTCCGTCGCTGGGAGTGGTTCGCTTTTAGGCGTCGCAGCTAGCCACCAGCAGCAGCAGCAGCAGCAACAGCAGCAGCAGCAGCAGCGTAAGGGAAAAAGAGTTTGTGACACAGCAGTTTGTGATACAGCAGGAGCATATTAGATTTGATTGGACTATTGGAATTCTAGTAGGACTAGCAGCATCACTTTTCTATCCGATTCAGAAGTTACGTTAGGTCATTTTTGCGGTGCAATTTCGGAGCTTTTCCGTCCTTCACTGCCATGGGGATTTGCACCTGGGAGTGGTTCGCTGTTAGGCGTCGCAGCTAGCCACCAGCAGCAGCAGCAGCAGCAGAAAAAATTCGCTAAAAAAATCATCATTTTCTATGACTTTCAGAAGTTACGTTAGGCATTTTTTCACTGCCATCGGGATTTGCTGCTGGGAGTGGTTTGCTTTTAGGCGTCGCAGCTAGCCACCAGCAGCAGCAGCAGCAGCAGTAGGAGCGTCTTCAGCAGCAGGAGAAAAAAGTAGCTAAATCATCATTTTCTATGGGTTTCAGAAGTTACGTTAGGCATTTTTGAGGTGCAATTTCGGAGCTTTTCCGTCCTTCACTGCCATGGGAATTTGCCGCTGGGAGTGCTTCGCTTTTAGGCGTCGCAGCTAGCCACCAGCAGCAGCAGCAGCAGCAGTAGGAGCCTCTTCAGCAGCAGGAGAAAAAAGTAGGTAAAATCATCATTGTCTATGGGTTTCAAAAGTTACGTTAGGCATTTTTGCGGTGCAATTTCGAAGCTTTTCCGTCCTTCACTGCCATGGGGATTTGCCGCTGGGAGTGGTTCGCTTTTGCGCGTCGCAGCTAGCCACCAGCAGCGGCAGCAGCAGTAGGAGCCTCTTCAGCAGCAGGAGAAAAAAGTCGCTAAAAAAAAAATCCTTTTCTATGGGTTTCAGAAGTTACATTAGGCATTTTTGAGGTGCAATTTCGGAGCCTTTCCGTCCTTCACTGCCATGGGGATTTGCCGCTGGGAGTGGTTCGTTTTTTGGCGTCGCAGCTAGCCACCAGCAGCAGCAGCAGCAGCTAGGAGCCTCTTCAGCAGCAGGAGAAAAAAGTAGGTAAAATCATCATTGTCTATGGGTTTCAGAAGTTACGTTAGGCATTTTTGAGGTGCAATTTCGGAGCTTTTCCGTCCTCCATCGGGATTTGACGCTGGAGTGGTTCGCTTTTAGGCGTCGCAGCTAGCCACCAGCAGCAGGAGCCTCTTCAGCAGCAGGAGAAAAAAGTCGCTAAAAAAAAAAACATTTTCTATGGGTTTCAGAAGTTACATTAGGCATTTTTGGGGTGCAATTTCGGAGCCTTTCCGTCCTTCACTGCCATGGGGATTTGCCGCTGGGAGTGGTTCGCTTTTAGGCGTCGCAGCTAGCCACCAGCAGCAGCAGCAGCAGGAGAAAAAAGTCGCTAAAAAAATCATAATTTTCTATGGGTTTCAGAAGTTACGTGTGGTTCGCTTTTTGGCGTCGCAGCTAGCCACCAGCAGCAGCAGCAGAAGAAAAAGTAGCAAAAATCATCATTTTCTATGGGTTTCAGAAGTTACGTTAGGCATTTTTGAGGTGCAATTTCGGAGCCTTTCCGTCCTTCACTGCCATGGGGATTTGCCGCTGGGAGTGGTTCGTTTTTTGGCGTCGCAGCTAGCCACCAGCAGCAGCAGCAGCAGCAGTAGGAGCCTCTTCAGCAGGAGAAAAAAGTACCTATCATCACATCATTTTCTATGGGTTCAGCAGCAGCAGCAGCAGCAGGAGAAAAAAATCGCTAAAAAAATCATCATTTTCTATGACTTTCAGAAGTTACGTTAGGCATTTTTTCACTGCCATCGGGATTTGCTGCTGGGAGTGGTTTGCTTTTAGGCGTCGCAGCTAGCCACCAGCAGCAGCAGCAGCAGCAGTAGGAGCGTCTTCAGCAGCAGGAGAAAAAAGTAGCTAAAATCATCATTTTCTATGGGTTTCAGAAGTTACGTTAGGCATTTTTGCGGTGCAATTTCGAAGCTTTTCCGTCCTTCACTGCCATGGGGATTTGCCGCTGGGAGTGGTTCGCTTTTGCGCGTCGCAGCTAGCCACCAGCAGCAGCAGCAGCAGCAGCACCAGCAGCAGCAGTAGGAGCCTCTTCAGCAGCAGGAGAAAAAAGTAGCTAAAATCATCATTTTCTATGGGTTTCAGAAGTTACGTTAGGCATTTTTGAGCTGCAATTTCAGAGCTTTTCCGTCGCTGGGAGTGGTTCGCTTTTAGGCGTCGCAGCTAGCCACCAGCAGCAGCAGCAGCAACAGCAGCAGCAGCAGCAGCAGCAGCAGTAGGAGCGTCCTCAGCAGCAGGGAAAAAAAGTAGCTAAAATCATCATTTTCTATGGGTTTCAGAAGTTACATTAGGCATTTTTGAGGTTCACTGCCATGGGGATTTACCGCTGGGAGTGGTTCGCTTTTAGGCGTCGCAGCTAGCCACCAGCAGCAGCAGCAGCAGGAGAAAAAATTCGCTAAACAAATCATCATTTTCTATGATTTTCAGAAGTTACGTTAGGCATTTTTTCACTGCCATCGGGATTTGCTGCTGGGAGTGGTTTGCTTTTAGGCGTCGCAGCTAGCCACCAGCAGCAGCAGCAGTAGGAGCGTCTTCAGCAGCAGGAGAAAAAAAATCATCATTTTCTATGGGTTTCAAAAGTTACATTAGGCATTTTTGAGGTGCAATTTCGGAGCTTTTCCGTCCTTCACTGCCATGGGGATTTGCCGCTGGGAGTGGTTCGCTTTTTGGCGTCGCAGCTAGCCACCAGCAGCAGCAGCAGCAGCAGTAGGAGGCTCTTCAGCAGCAGGAGAAAAAAGTAGCTAAAATCAATCATCATTTTCTATGGATTTCAGAAGTTACATTAGGCATTTTTGAGGTGCAATTTTGGAGCTTTTCCGTCCTTCACTGCCATGGGGATTTGCCGCTGGGAGTGGTTCGCTTTTTGGCGTCGCAGCTAGCCACCAGCAGCAGCAGCAGCAGCAGCAGCAGTAGGAGCCTCTTCAGCAGCAGTAGGAGCCTCTTCAGCAGCAGGAGAAAAAAGTAGCTAAAATCATCATTTTCTATGGGTTTCAGAAGTTACATTAGGCATTTTTGAGGTGCAATTTCGGAGATTTTCCGTCATTCACTGCCATGGGGATTTGCCGCTGGGAGTGGTTCGCTTTTAGGCTTCGCAGCTAGCCACCAGCAGCAGCAGCAGCAGCAGTAGGTCAGTTATATCCCCATTGTTTTAATTGATATACCGATATACCCTACAACATATCTCCAAATATCCTCATTTTATTGCTTCCCAAATATCCCCATGTTGGGTTCACAAAATCTCGCGGCTGTGCAAACTCTGAGGCTCTTGCACCGCAGCTATCTTGCAACTAAGAGATGGTCGCCAAGCACATGAGAATTAATGGCCGCAGCAGAACATTTGGCGTCAACAACGCCAGTAGCAAAAACATATCCTCACTCTTCGGCCGTTCCTGAAATATGTGTGTATATATATAATGATATACATATATATATATACATATATATATATATAGCAATGGGATCTAAGATTTAAGAATCTAAGCAGTAAAGATTGAGTTGAGATGTTGACCAACAGGAATTAGTTGGTGAGCAACCCCCAATCTCTGCAAAGCCCTTCAGATGAATCTCTTTATTTCATGTGTGGATTGAAAGAAAACTCAAATACCGATACAAACAAGATACGACTGTGGTAAAACCATTTAAAACAAATGCTACAGAAAAAAAAACGGCGTTCCTGGTCGTTGATTCCGGGGTCGGCGGCAGGGGCGGCAGCCCTTAAATATATATATATATGTTCTTACCGTGGTTTCGGTATACGCTGTGCCAGTGGAAACCACTGTCTTCTGTGGCTTGTGTCGGTTTGTCATCCCATGTTGACACTTGCCAAACATCCGACCATGAAAGTGCCAAAAAAACGCAATCCCCACAGCCTGAAACAAACTCAGAATACGTCACGTTCATGTTTCTGGCTTCGCTGGTGCAGTGCATGCACTTTAGAAGATTTAAAAAATCCCACGTCAGTAATTACCATCCACAGCTCTGTGCACATGGCTCATTCAAGATCACCAAACAACTTGTCACCGAGTTTGTTCTTTCACTCACTCTGCATCAGATCATCCCTCCACTCCACCCCCTGTCGTCCCCACCGGCCGTTTCTGGGGCCCCTGGCCTCCGTTGCTCACAGCATCCACGGCGGCGCCCGCGGCGAGGAGCTGCTCCACAGCGGCGGTGTGGCCGTTGAGAGCCGCGTAGTGCAGCGGTGTCGCACCTCAGGCGCCGAAGGGCTCGGAGACGTCAACGGCTGGAGGGCTCCACCCCGTGGCTCTCCACCGCCCACCCCGCACTGCAGTGGGAGAAACTGCAATCTGTGGAGTGAAGTCCGTGAGTTTCATGTGTTTCAAAATTGTATAGCGAGCTGGCTCAATGGCAGCCACTATCTGTTGCTGGTGTTTGTGAAGATCACCAAGACTGCGAACTGATGGAACCGTCCACAACAGAAAATCCGAAAAAGGGAAAACCGTTTTACACCTAACAAATTAAGCGTTATCTCAACATATCTCGAGCGTTCTCAAGCTCTCTTTCACACCCACAGTAGGCCCATACAGGTAGCAAATGTGCAAGAGTTCTTCTCTCTTAAGATGTCTTATGATGTCTTGTGGTGTTTCACATCGATGTCTTACCATCGTCATGCAGAGAATGTTTTGTCAAAGGTCGACATTGCGTGTGGGCAATTCGTGTTATATATTGTTATATCCCTGCAGTGATAACATGCCAGTGGATGCCACTGTGTTCTGTTGCTTTGTCACCTCATGTATTGTCACTTGCCAAATATCTCACCATGGCGTTTGAGAAGATTCACAAAATCCAAATCCCACCTACAGCAAATACCACCTGTTAGTTTTATCCTGCCACGGCTCTGTGCACATGGCGCATTCAAAATCACCAGACAACTTGTCACCGAGTTTGTTCTTTCACTCACTCTGCATCAGATCATCCCTCCACTCCACCCCCTGCGGCCGTTTCCGGGGCCCCTGGCCATCGCTGTCGGCAGCATCCACGGCGGCGCCCGCGGCGAGGAGCCGCTCCACAGCGGCGGTGCGGCCTTCCTCAGCCGCCCGGTGCAGCGGTGTCGAACCTCAGGCGCCGAAGGGCTCGGAGACGTCAACGGCTGGAGGGCCCCCACCCCATTTGCAGTGGGAGAAACTGCAATCTGTGGAGTGAAGTCCGTGAGTTTCATCTTTTTTAATATTGTATAGCGAGCTGGTTCAATGGCAGCCACTATCGTTGCTGGTGTTTGTGAAGATCACCAAGACTACGAACTGATGGCACCTTCCAGAAAAGGATATCCGAAAAGGGGAAAAACCGTTTTCTTACGCCTAACAAAACTTATCTCAACCATTCTCAACCTATCTCAAGCATTCTCAAGCCCTCTTGTACGCCCATACAGTAGGCCCATACTACAAGTAGCAAATGTGCAAGAGTTTTCTTCTCTCTCAAGAATGATGTCTTATGGTATTTCACATCGATGTCTTACCATTGTGATGCAGAGAATGTTTTGTCAAAGGTGGACATGGCGTGTGGGCAATTCCTGATGGGGCACCCTAAGGATACCAGTGGATGCCACTGTGTTCTGTTGGTTTGTCACCTATTGTCATTTGCCAAAAATCTCACTATGGCGTTTGAGAAGATTCACAAAATCCCAATCCCACCTTAATTCCACCAATCCTGTCACAGCTCTGTGCACATGGCGCATTCAAAATCATCAAGCAACTTGTCACCGAGTTGTTCTTTCACTCACTCTGCATCGGATCCCCTGTCGTCCCCACCGGCCGTTTCCGGGGCCCCTGGCCTCCGTTGTCCACAGCATCCACGGCGGCGCCCGCGGCCAGGAGCTGCTCCACGACGGTTTGGCCGAACTCAGCCGCCTTGTGCAGCGGTGTTTCGCCTCAGGCGCCGAAGGGCTCGGAGACGTCAACGGCTGGAGGGCTCCACCCCGTGGCTCTCCACCGCCCAACCCCCACTGCAGTGGGAGAAACTGCAATCTGTGGAGTGAAGTCAGTGAGTTTCATCTTTTTCAAAATTCTATAGCGAGCTGGCTTAATGGCAGCCACTATTGGTGTTTGTGAAGATCACCGAGACTACCAACTGATCAAACCTTGCAAAACAGAAAATCCGAAAAGGGGAAAACCGTTTTATACCTAACAAATTAAGCTTTATCTCAATATATCTCGAGCATTCTCAAGCTCTCTTTCACACCCATACAGTACGCCCATACAGGTAGCAAATGTGCAAGAGTTCTTCTCTCTTAAGATGTCTTATGATGTCTTTTTGTGTTTCACATCGATGTCTTACCATCGTCATGCAGAGAATGTTGTGTCAAAGGTCGACATTGCGTGTGGGCAATTCGTGTTATATCATGTTATATCATGTTACATCCCCGCAGTGATGGGGCACCCCAAAAATGCCAGTGGATGCTACTGTGTTCTGTCGCTTTGTAACCTCATGTATTGTCACTTGCCAAATATCATCAAATATCTCACCATAGCGTTTGAGAAAATTCACAAATCCCAATCCCACCTACAGCAAATACAACCTATTAGTTTTATCCTGCCACGGCTCTGTGCACATGGCGCATTGAAAGTCATCAAACAACTTTAAACCGAGTTTGTGTTCTTTCACTCACTCTGCATCAGATCATCCCTGCACTCCACCCCCTGTCGTCCCCACCGGCCGTCTCCGGGGCCCCTGGCCTTCGCTGTTCACAGCATCCACGGCGGCGCCCGCGGCGAGGAGCCGCTCCACAGCGGCGGTGTGGCCCCATCTCGCCGCGTGGTGAAGCGGTGTCCAACCTCAGGCGCCGAAGGGCTCGGAGACGTCAACGGCTGGAGGGCTCCACCCCGTGGCTCTCCACCGCCCAACCCCCACTGCAGTGGGAGAAACTGCAATCTGTGGAGTGAAGTCAGTGAGTTTCATCTTTTTCAAAATTCTATAGCGAGCTGGCTTAATGGCAGCCACTATTGGTGTTTGTGAAGATCACCGAGACTACCAACTGATGAAACCTTGCAAAACAGAAAATCCGAAAAGGGGAAAACCGTTTTATACCTAACAAATTAAGCTTTATCTCAATATATCTCGAGCATTCTCAAGCTCTCTTTCACACCCATACAGTACGCCCATACAGGTAGCAAATGTGCAAGAGTTCTTCTCTCTTAAGATGTCTTATGATGTCTTTTTGTGTTTCACATGGATGTCTTACCATCGTCATGCAGAGAATGTTGTGTCAAAGGTCGACATTGCGTGTGGGCAATTCGTGTTATATCATGTTATATCATGTTACATCCCCGCAGTGATGGGGCAACCCAAAAATGCCAGTGGATGCCACTGTGTTCTGTCGCTTTGTAACCTCATGTATTGTCACTTGCCAAATATCATCAAATATCTCACCATAGCGTTTGAGAAAATTCACAAATCCCAATCCCACCTACAGCAAATACAACCTATTAGTTTTATCCTGCCACGGCTCTGTGCATATGGCGCATTGAAAGTCATCAAACAACTTTAAACCGAGTTTGTTCTTTCACTCACTCTGCATCAGATCATCCCTCCACTCCACCCCCTCCCCACCGGCCGTCTCCGGGGCCCCTGGCCTGCGTTGCTCACAGCATCCACGGCGGCGCCCGCGGCGAGGAGCCGCTCCACCACGGCGACGGGGGTGTGGCCGTTGTCAGCCGCGTTGTGCAGCGGTGTCAAACCTCAGGCGCCGAAGGGCTCGGAGACGTCAACGGCTGGAGGGCTCCACCCACCACCCACCCCCACAGCAGTGGGAGAAACTGCAATCTGTGGAGTGAAGTCCGTGAGTTTCATCGTTTTCACTATTGATCAAAATTGTATAGCGAACTGGCTCAATGGCACCCACTATCGTTGCTTTTGTTTGTGAAGATCACCAAGACTGCGAACTGATGGAACCTTCCAAAACAGAAAATCTGAAAAAGTGTACCGTTTTCTTACGCCTAAGAAAACTTATCTCAACATATCTCGAACATTCTCAAGCTCTCTTTCACACCCATGCAGTAGGCCCATACAGGTAGCAAATGTGCAAGAGTTCTTCTCTCTCTCAAGATGTTTTATGACGTCTCATGGTGTTTCACATCGATGTCGATGTCTTACCATCGTCATGCAAAGAATGTTTTGTCAAAGGTCGACATTGCGTGTGGGCAATTCGTGTTATATATTGTTATATCCCTGCAGTGATAACATGCCAGTGGATGCCACTGTGTTCTGTCGCTTTGTCACCTCATGTATTGTCACTTGCCAAATATCGTATGAGAAAATTCACAAAATCCCAATCCCACCTACAGCAAATACCACCTATTAGTTTTACCCTGCCGCAGCTTTGTGCACATGGCGCATTGAAAGTCATCAAACAACTTTAAACCGAGTTTGTTCTTTCACTCACTCTGCATCAGATCATCCCTCCACTCCACCCCCTGTCGTCCCCACCGGCCGTTTCCGGGGCCCCTGGCCTGTGTTGGTCGCAGCATCCACGGCGGCACCCGCGGCAAGGAGCTGCTCCACGACGGCAGTTTGGCCGGTGTCAGCCGCCCTGTGCAGCGGTGTCCAACCTCAGGCGCCGAAGGGCTCGGAGACGTCAACGGCTGGCTCCACCCCGTGGCTCTCCACCGCCCACCCCCACTGCAGAGGGAGAAACTGCAATCTGCGGAGTGAAGTCCGTGAGTTTCATCTTTTTCAAAATTCTATAGCGAGCTGGCTTAATGGCAGCCACTATTGGTGTTTGTGAAGATCACCGAGACTACCAACTGATGAAACCTTGCAAAACAGAAAATCCGAAAAGGGGAAAACCGTTTTATACCTAACAAATTAAGCTTTATCTCAATATATCTCGAGCATTCTCAAGCTCTCTTTCACACCCATACAGTACGCCCATACAGGTAGCCAAATGTGCAAGAGTTCTTCTCTCTTAAGATGTCTTATGATGTCTTTTTGTGTTTCACATCGATGTCTTACCATCGTCATGCAGAGAATGTTGTGTCAAAGGTCGACATTGCGTGTGGGCAATTCGTGTTATATCGTGTTATCATGTTACATCCCCGCAGTGATGGGGCACCCCAAAAATGCCAGTGGATGCCACTGTGTTCTGTCGCTTTGTAACCTCACGTATTGTCACCTGCCAAATATCTCACCATAGCGTTTGAGAAAATTCACAAATCCCAATCCCACCTACAGCAAATACAACCTATTAGTTTTATCC